TATGAGTGTGTGCAAACTGTTGGCTGCAGAGATGAAAGAGGTGGGGAAAAAACTCCCGCAGCCCTTCATTGTCAGTCAGTTATGGAGAAGAGCAGGGAGGCTGGGGATAAGGGGATGCTAAGGCAGAAGATACGACTTTAATTCTGAGATGAACATAGATCTTAGAGAAGAGTAGACAAAGCCACCAATATTAGGGTTCATCTCAAAAATGTTTCACATCCCTCTCCTTAGTTAAACTATATGTTGATCAGTTCTGATACAAAGCTGAAATAAATAATATGTAGCAGACATCTTAAAGAAAATAAAACTGGGGCCACATAAGCTATGGAACCACTACTACATGGCTCGTATATATGTGATCCTGCCTAGAACATAGGAATCTACAATCTCTGGATCCATCAGCCATATCTGGGGTCAATGTTGTTATTGGAGAGACGGCCAACCTGTCTGGGCTTTGGCATAAACTAACCAATAGTAATAAAGGACTTCAAGCTATGACTTCCTTTTGCTTCCTTTAGCTCTTTTTACTGTTTGACAAGCAAGTGGAGTGGATTGTGTTCTGCACACTCATGCAGACTTTTCTTTCTAGACATTAATTAAAGCTAAATTCCCCTTAGTTGCCTGCTGATTGCATTACATTGGATTCTTTCCGCTCCTTTTGTCTTCCACACTGTGTTCCTGCATACAGCCACAGCTTGCAGGGTGGTTGGCAGTAGCTCGGATAGGGACTTGGGTTGGGAGGGTCACCGGTTCCAGTTTAAAGCTGTTTAAAGCCATTTTGTACCCCATCATTTAAGACGTGTAAAAAACGCTATCCGAACATACAATAGTTTTTTTTAAATCATCTTCAGATGAAGATCTAATTGACAGGGTCCGAATTTTTCTCTTCTTTTGTATTACCCGCATTTCGTTCTCAAAGTGATAATACATTCACAGCTTTATTTCCTCAGCTGATACTCTCCCCCTGCAGTCAGGGGTCTGAATGGAAGCCTCCCAGCTGGCTGATTTGATTAAAGTGAGACGGAGCTTGCCAACAACATGTAGAGAAGCAACGTGTATAGAAATAACAGAAGGGAGTTTGAGATACAGATGCCAGTCAGCTAGATCCATGGAGGGGTTCTGTTTAATTTGACATCCCTGGATGGAAAGAAGCTGAAACGTCTCTCTATCTTCTTCTCTCTATCTCTCTGCCAATTTACTCTCTCTCTTTGTAGCACACACACACACACACACACACAGCTGTGCATCTGACCTGTGCAGGTTGATTTCCCCTGGCTTTAGTTGTGATGTCTCAATCTGTTTTCTGCCATATTAACATCGGGGAGAACACTAACCCCCCATCACACTGGCAGACAAGCCCATGTATTCTGCAGGATGTAATGTATCGTACACACTTCCACCAGGGGCTTTGCAGCTTCCTTGACATCTTTCATTGTACACCCTAATCCCATGAATTTGTGAGCATGCAAGCCTGTACATGTGTGTGTGTGTGAATCTGGGCAAATGCCATTTCAGCATGGGGCCGACCCCCACTGCAGGTGACATTTTTACTGAAGAAATGTCACCATGGCCCTTTCCTCCAAATGTGTGTGTGTGTGTGTGTGTGTGTGTGTGTGTGTGTGTGTGTGTGTGCGTGTGTGTGTGTGTGTGTATGTGCGTGTGTGTGCGTGTGTGTGCGTGTGTGTGCGTGTGTGTGCGTGTGTGTGCGTTGTGTGTGTGTGTGTGTGTTCAAGCTAAGCTAAAATCCTCCTAGCTGAAGAACTTCATATTGAGCTTTAGATATTACGCTTGCTGATCTTTTTACCTAAAGGTGGAGCTATTTCTTTGCAATGTCATGAAGAATTAATGCACTTTCTTAAACAAAACTACAATTTTCTCAATGGTAATGATGCCACCATTGTAACCCTATTGTCTTAGAGTTTCCTTTTCTATAAAGGTTCAAACGTCAATTTAAAATAACGATAGTTAAGTTTAGCGCAAATGGTCTTAAATGTCTCCAAAGAAATGTTTTATCTCCAAATTCATTTTCATAAAAATATAGTAAATCTCATCTTACGACTGTTAGAATTTTTTTTTCTTCTCCAGTTATTTCAGTTGATTCATGGGCAGGCTTCCAGCAGAGAAACTTTTGATATAAAGGATATCAAACAAAGCCACTACATAGCTAAATAACTGGACCTCTCGATCAAAAATCAACCATGCCACATCAGAGTAATAACTGAGACTACATGACTGTGAAAAGCGGCTTGTCCTACAGCTGTAATTAAACAGGAATAGCAGCAGGCATTTGCACACAATATGTCGGGCCAGAAGAGCTAATCACTTCTATCACAGAAGATCATAGTGGGATGAAACAGAAGCCACAGTGATACGAGACTGGATGACAGACAGACTGTGTAGAGTTGTGTATGTGGTTCATAATTTTAAACTGTATGTGTTTTTTGTGTAGGGATGTATGATGGCTGCTGTGTGTGTGAATGCATGTGTAAATGCGTGAGTGTTATTTGTCTCCCTGACAACTGAGGGGACATCTGTCACGTCCATATGGAGAGAGAGAGAGGAGGGCCGTGGCTCCAAAGATGAGTGCAGAGCAAAAACACAACACATGCAAAAATAAAATGTGGAGCACCATAAATATGATGGAAAGATCGTAAGAACGAGATATAAATAGCAGTAATATGAATAGCGCTAGCTGCAGCTAAAACAATGGTTTTTACCATAAAATATGGAATTAAAATAATTAGCTATTTCAGTTTTAGTCTTATCTAAAATGAGTTTTGATTTGTGGAAAGGTTTGAATAACAAGCAGCAAAGATCATGAGTCCGGCCTAAATCACAATTTTGTGAGTTTACATTAAAGCAAATAAGTCAAAACTGAAAAAGAGGATCAATTTGTATTCACTATTTTGTGTTGTTGTTGTTGTGTTTTTTTTACTATAATGTAGGTACTTTAATGTAGGCCAATATTTTGGGTGTCATTCTAGATTCACTTCACCAGGTTATATTATACTTTTACAAGTTCAATTGAATTGACATGAGAGAGCAGGTTTGTCCCCTTATCTGCTATTTCATATAAATAGCACACAACAAACATGTGACAGAGTTACCTGGTAGGTGAATGGATTCATGTCAAACAACATCATCTTCTCTAGTTGATCCCAGCCTGTAATGAATGTTATACCCCTCTCTCCCACATCTTCACAATCAAATGTCTAATACAAGTAGGGGGGAACCATTGAAAAAGTAATATTGTCACACATGAATGCCAGACAGACAGACGCTCAACAATCAAATAAATGCACACTATGTGTACATGGGCACAAAAACACATCAGGGTGTGTGGGGTCCCTCTCCTTCTCCGTTTGATGTCTGTTTGATTGTGTCCTCCACAGTCATTCTTTTTCTAGTGAGGACACACACACACACACAAGCGTACCCAGTGAGCCCCTCACTCAAACTGTGGAGGAGGGGGCACTAAAAACTCATTACATGGACGATCAATATTGCACACACTTGAAAAGCATGACCCCCCCTTCATCTTCCAACACACACACACACACTTTTCACCAAGCATAGGCAACGGTGACAGATGACTTTTGTCAGCCTGAGATGTGTTACCGTGGTAACCATTAGGCTGCATTCCGGTATGGTACAGAAAGGGTGAAGCACACACCCTCACAGCCACCACCAGTATTTGACTAAACTGGTCAAGGTGATGATTATAAACAGCAGCTCGACATTTTAGAACATAAGGAGTGGATCAACGTAATAACGTTTTGTTCTGCCACTTAGGGTCCACTAGGGGTCTTTCAATCCAAAGCATACCAGGACACACACTTTGATTATGTTCTGAAGCAGCGAGGGTTGTCGACATTGTTAGATAACCACAATGAATCTTTCTAACTCAACATTATATTGTTATTCATTCTGTGCATTACTCAGCAGCATATAAAATAAGCTAACATAAATAGACATTTTTTTTTATCTCACTGACCTTTCATGTTGCCTTCAGCCTCAACACAACATTGCGAAAAATTGATTCAAATTAAGTTACAGTGGTGGATTGAACAATGTGAAGTGTTGTGTCACGCAAGCCAAAAGCATTTTAATTACAGATTACATACGTCACTGCTGACTGGGCAAGGCCGACTACATGAAAGGAAACAACCTGCAAACAGGAGTACCAAGTGTACCACTTACAGGTTGAACAAACCCTCAGTGCTTCCTTGCCAGAGACAGGAAACCAAATAAAAGATTAATTCCATGAATTAAATCAGAGGTTTCTCCAAGTTTTAACATAGTGAAAACACGAGCAAAGATCTAATGACAACCCCCCACCCATTTTTTATCTAAATTTTAAGACAAATTTTAAAAGGTTACACAATATTTTTTTAATATGTAACTGAAGCCCCTGCTGTTTATAAATCACTATACAATTTTAAGTGTCTCCAAGGCCAACAAATTGATCTATTTTCAAATGAATTGAACACAAACCTCCAAACAATAAAGCCACATATTAATATATTAAACTGTATACAGATAGAAGTAGTGCACTAACAGGCATTCATTTAGCATCAACAGATTCATTAACCATAGAGACTAGATCTATTTTGAAACTTTTGTAAAGCTATTTCATTCATGTTAATAAACTTTTTAGCATACCAGATGAGTAAGACAATTTTAACTGAGGTGAGATGTTGAACAGATGAACACTTAGTGAATCAAAAGTGATGCATCAGACTCACTTCAAGTTAGTGAAAATACAACATGTCTGTGTCACTTCATGGAAAGACATCAAAGAAACATCTTCCACTTCATGGCCAGGGCTAGTCATCATTTTCAACAGCTTATCTCACACATTTCACAATAAGTCAAATCATGGTTTTAAAGATTCGACTCTGATAGATAAGGTGATAGAAGAGAATTAATATGCGTGTATAACAATAGTTGGATTTCTGTTAAACACTGCAGCAGAATAAAAACACTTCTTTATTTTTTACCTTTCCAAGCCCAGGGGTGTCTTTGATTTTGTTGGCTGCACGGAGGAGACAGGGTGGAGCCGGGGGAGGAGCCATCAACAGGGCAGCACTGAAGTTAGTGGGGAACAGAGGGGGGTCACATGATGGTGATGATGTTGCCACTGGGGCTGTGACTGCAGTGGTCTTCTGCTTCTTCTTCTTGGATGCCAAGTTCAACTTTTGTGCAGCTCTAAGAGAGGAGAAGTAAGATGAAGACAAGATAGAAAGAGAGGGAAAACTGTAAATTGTTACTGTTGTTACTGTAACAACAAACACAATAAACACTTATTGGATGAATATAAGAAGAGGAGGGAGGACAGGAAGGATGGTGGAACATGTGCATGCACGCACATCGGTCCATAATTACAACCTCTTAGTTTACCACAGTACAACCATCGCAAATATGCTAATTGCAGAACTCCAATACATGCCCAAAAAAAAGAAAACACAAACGCACCCATGCGCACACACACACACACACACACACACACACACACACACACACACTGCAGTTTACATATGTAAGAACATCTGGATGGGGAGTGGTTCATTTGCTTTCTTGCTGCTCAATTCCCTGCAGCTTTCAGCTCAAAAGGAGCATCTGAAATTTATATTTGAATATCCTCCATCTACTTTGCGCTCCCCAGTCGCTCTCTCCTTTTAACTTCCACTCCTTTACTACTTCTAAATCTCCACTTTTTCTCCTGCTTTTCTCCTGGCTCTGTCTTTTCTTAGCTCAACACAGCAAGTACTACTTCACATCATCCTCTAACTTTTCCCTTCCTGTTTCCAACTCACTTTCTATCATCTCCAGCAGAAGTACAGCATATCCGTGTATCAAACTGAATTTCTGTGTTAACCTATGTAAGTACAATTTATGGTTAGTAAAGGCAAAGAAACAGTTATGTCCAAGCACCAGTGCTAGGTAGTAATAGTTTCGGCCCTTTGTTAAATTTCAGTTTCAGAAATAAAGTAATTCTACTCTTTAACACTTAACACTCATTGTCAATTTATTTTGAGGACAAAAAAGGAAAATCTCCCCTAAAAAAAAGTCCAAAACATAAATCTGATGATTATGTATCGAGACTCTCTGTTGTTTTCTTCCCTTTCATATCAATCAGCTAACAAACTCTCCAACTCATCTCACAACCCTGTGTAGGGGACAAACCCATATTTAGGACCACTGGTCTAAACAAACCAGCTCCAAGAGCCATCACAGTGAAATCCTACTGATGCATTGCTGCAATAGTACAGGAACACTTAATCTTAGTTAATCATTTGATCAATAATACACCTTTACTTTGAAGGACTACAAGTTTAAACATTCCAGTTTGCTTCTTTGCTGTAGCTAGCTCTGCCTTCCTTCCATAAGTGCTAGATTGCTGTTAGACTGTTATATTACTAAATTCAAACAGGCTTATTTTGTGCTTTACACATCAACATTACAGTAACAACTCATAGGCAGTTATAGGCTGAGACGGTAATGAGATAAGGTGATATCTTTATAGAAATATGTTTTTCAGTTGATAAAAGCACAAGTACAGTATAGTGCACACTGACTATGGCTGACCAGCACGATACAGAGGCGTCCAAAAGGATGGTCCTATGAGAAAACCCAGACACAGTAAATCTGCCCGCAGTATTTCACCCAAATGATTTATTGATATTAGTCAAAGTATTCACATTTGTCAGTGTAATTCCTTGTCTGGGATTTATAAGGCTACATTTCAAACAAGCAGACACGCTGACAATCAGAGCTACATGAAGAAGCAGCAGCCGTGTTAACGATATGATAAAATAAAAGAGCTCTAAAACTGCACTCTGGCAAAGATTTCTGCTCTGCTCTGCTTTAATCTTCCCTCACATATATTTCTTTGGTTATAAAGAGAGAGAGAGAGAAGACCTTGTGCCCCGACAGTCTCTCTGTCAAAGAGCCATATTCTCACACCATTGGCTTTCAATTAACTGCAGCAGGTTACAGAAATGAGAGCGAGTGGGGGGAGGGCAGCGGGGGGAGAGAAAGACATAGAAGAGAGGTAGGGGCGAGTAAGGAGGAAGAGAGGGAGGGAAGGAGAGGGAGTAAAGAGATGTGGAGCAAGTGACCCATAGAACGACGAAGCGTTTCACCGTTTGACTAGCTCTCCCTGGAGCTTTGTGTGTGAATCTCTGTGTGTGGGTGTGTGTGTTATCACAGTGAATGTGTGTGTGAGAGCGCATGAAACAAAGCTCCACAAAAAGATCCTAATTGTTTTGCTGTTTTTCACCGGGTGCCGGCTTAACTTACATTCATGATGCTCACAACTTTTCATGTAACACGAAGAGAATGTACAATAGATTACAGAAGCAATGCTTCAGGTGAAAGAATATAGTGTTAGAATAATAATGTATAACTGTGGATCCACTTCATGTTTTAACAGATCCTGTTGATGAGGAAGCACTGGAGGTTAAATATTCATTTCTAATGTGATAATGGAAACAACATGCTGCTGCATTGCTGATTCCTGCAGGAGAAGGTATGACTTTAATTGATTCATGGTCATGTTTCTCTGCTGCAGGAGGGTCCAACTTCTCCCAGGGCAAAACATGGATTAGCTATTTTTGAGGGATGGTTTTCATGTCTTATTCAAATATTTTCATTGACGGGGCAATGGTTAGGGCGCGCGTCCCATGTATTGAGACCCTCGTCTCAAGCGGTAGGCCCGGGTTCGCCTCCACCCGTGGCCCCCCTCCGCATGTCATTCCCCGCTCTCCCTCCCTGGTTTCCGACTCTATCCACTGTCCTCTCTCTGCATTAAAGGCATGAAAAGCCCAAAATAAAACAAATCTTTAAAAAATATATATATATTTTAATTGACTTTTTAAATACCCTACAACCAAAAGGCAAATAAAAGCCCCCCAAAACTAAAGTGGGCGTTTGAACAACACATTTATGTCAGTCACTTTAGAGTTGTCCAGTTATATTTATACTTCAGTACTTTGAGGAGGAGATTTTCCCCTTGTCTTTAAGGAGAAGACATGGGGGTCCAAAAATGGCTGTCAGACCTTATAAAGCACTTGGGCACTTCACTTCGAGTCTTTCATCTTCTCAAACTTGAAATGTGTCATCACATCACCTTTCACTTTCTGTGTGCAGAGGGGCTGACTTCAAATTAAAGGAAATAAGGCTTCAACACAACAGTGATGAAAAAGCGATGAATAGGCAACAGATACTGCATACTGACCACAAAGGTGGCAATTACAGGGTCAGGGACAATCTTCCTGTCACAAATACAAAAAATGTTAATAAAATGTGAAGATTACAGCTGAAATCCAATCATCAAGCTGTCCTCAAATGGTGATAGAATAATTGGAATAGCACGGCACAATCTACTTGCAGCTCCGCATTGATTAGCAACCCCATACAACTACTTGGCAATCAAAATCGTGGAAGGGGCTAACCGAAAGGGACCAAAGGCATGCACCAATGAATAGCTGAGATAAACTGTCCTTTGAATCCATCAGCTGCATCTATTTGGTAATGCATTTACAAAACATCGATAAGGCAATGTTCATCGTCCTGACTTGTGTGAAACAAAGATGGAATCCCTGATGCTAAATAACCACAATTAAAAAAAAGAAAAACAGTTCTCTAAACAGATTTCCCATTGGCCATTTCAAATTGAAATTGGAAGAAAGAGAAGAAGAACAAAACAGGAGGATAAAGTCGGACAGCGATGAAAAGAAGTTAAAGGATGAATCAAGTGAATAAATACAATACTCCTGCACGTTACCTTTTTTTTAGGGGCATGTTATATTCTTCAGTTATCAGATATCTAGATAGGCCTATTATTTTACATTTGTATTGCAATATATCAATGATCTAAGAATCTCTGTCTGATGATATTATTATTGTCGGCCACATAACACATATCATATTGTATATCGTGAGTTACTCTGCAATTCCCACCCGAGAGGATACGCTACATTATGCTGTTATTATGTTCAGTCACCTTGGATGGTGTAAGGCAGCGTGGTACGAACGTAAACATACACACCCAATCACTCACACACACAAACACACCAGACACACACACCAGCTAATTGGCAGCATTTAATGACAAGTGGCCGGGGGATTTGGCCAAGTGGATCTATTCCAATCTAACCCTAAAGTGAAGGACCCTTGTTTTCCATCCATCTTCTCCATCTCTCCATCCATCAGCTCTTCCATTGTCAACCCCCCCACCCTCCACCCTACACCCTACACCCTTTATTGCCTCCACTCATCTTCATCCTTCACTTCTCTCCCAAGCTTTAATTCCCGTCTTTTTCCTAGATTTTATTCCACTCTTTCCCTCATTATATTTATCCTTTTATCCTTAGCCTCCTTCTCTGGCCTCCATATATCCACCCATCCATCGCAGCATCTGTTCAGCCTTCCACACATGTATTGATCCCTTCATCCGTTCTCCCTTCTCTTCCTCCTCGGTCCCTTCATGTGTCTCTCTCAGCTCAGGTCACAACTAGGCCTTATACTAACATGCTTCTGCTTTGTTTCTCTCCTCCTTCACACACAACTACAAACCATCTGACTTGAAACACACACACACATAAGCACACAAACACAGAGAGAGCTGATTTATGACTAGTGTCTCCGGGCTGTGTTGCTGGCTCAGTAGCTAATTACATTCTATTTAACAGGCCGTCAGTGGAGGGAGATATGGAGCAGAGGCAGAGAGTGATGGTGTTCATGTGTGTGTATATGTGAGTGAGTGTGTGAGGGTCAATAAGACTATCATGTACAGAAGGCCGGTTTACTGACACTATCTATATAGTGACATGTACATATACCCTCCAATTTCCTCACTTACATGCTTATATATTACATAGTAAAAAAACAACAACTGAACAATACTGTTAATACGCTGCTGTGTTGAACATGAGGTTGATACTTCAGGCTGAATTATATACTTATAAGAATATGGCAATTTGGTGTCTGCCACAGTACTAACTGAATCCATCAGTAATATGTCCAAGCTGTATGAAAAAAGTTTCAATAAAGCTGCATTCTGAACACCCTCTACACCATTACTAACTTGTAAAAACGTACAATAAGATGATCAGAAAGTAATTTTTATGGACTTCTTTTTTGAATACTAAAAATAAAACATTGAATAGAAACAATAGCTAGATTTACTTTCTCTTTCAAAATCTCTATAGTCATTTGAAACACGAGCAAATCGGCTTCTTCTTCCCCGTCGAAGTAAAACACTTTGCTTTCACTTTAACCTCCAAACAAATGTTGTTGTGATGTCATCAGGCAATTGATATGATAATTTGTTTACTAACTGCTACCTTTCTCAATCATCAATCAACCACAATGATTGGGGGCTAATTGCAATAGCGCCCAAAGTTCCTAATTATCATGTGATGGAATATACATTTAAAAGGAAAGAACAGAGACACTGCAGAATGTAAACAAGAGGCAGAGAAAGAGAAAGCATTCTCCTGTCTCACAGGTATTCATCCATCCAAAAAAACAACACCTTCCCAACCACCAATTCACCAGGGACCTATTTATTTAGTCACACACAGACACACACACACGCACACAGACACACACACACACACAGCCAAATCCCAAAAGATCCAATACTACGAGCATGCAGTAAAAAATTCCTGCACTGATAGAAATCCCCTTCCCCCAGTGTGGGCAAATGTGCACACATACACACACTCCTTGGTGTGAAATGGAGATCGTGTCTTTATCCTCCAGCCTAAATTCCCTAGAGGGCCACTGCAGCAGCACCGGGGAGCTAGAGCGCAACTGTGTGAGTGTGACATTCCCATAGACAGATTGGTACTAATGCAAGATATTAGTCTCGTGCACATTAGCAGAGGTAAAGAAAAGGTCATAGTGGGGACTGAAAAAATGTCAGCCAAAAAGAAGATGTATATAATAGATGGACATGGAAGAAAGTGGCGAAAACAATTAGATAGAAAACAGAAAAAGGAGTGAGAGGCAAATACTTGAATACAAGAAAAGGGATGAAAAGAGTAAGATGTGGATGTAGATGTAGTGGACACCAATGCACAAGTGAGCAGAGATGGTGTGTGCCTGTGTGTGTGTGTCTGTGTGTGTGTGTGTGTGTGTGTGTGTGTGTGTGTGTGCGCATGCGTGCGTGTGTGTGTGTGTGTGTGTCTGTGTGTGTGTGTGTGTGTGTGTGTGTGTGTGTGTGTGTGTGTGCGTGCGTGTGTGGGTGTGTTTGTGTGTAGGTGAGTGTGTGAGTGTGTGTGTGTGTGTGTGTGTGTGTGCGTGTGTGTGTGTGTCTGTGTGTGTGTGTGTGTGAGTGTGTGTGTGTGTGTGTGTGTGTGTGTGTGTGTGTGTGTGTGTGTGTGTGTGTGTGTGTGTGTGTGTGTGTGTGCGTGCATGCGTGTGTGTGTGTATAATATGAATGTCCGTATGCAGCCCACGTCTGAGACTAAAGACCAAGACAGCCATGGGATTTACCAGACCTGCATGGCTGCATCCATCGACTATAAACACACATACATATACAAATTACCAATCAAAAATAAAAGGTGACAGAATGTGCATGTTGTTTTTGTGCCAATTAAACCAAAATCCTTTTACACAAATAATAACACAAACAGACTCACATACACACTGACTTACAGGAGATGCAAACAAACTGTGCCTATTTGTTAAAAGAGGACAAAACAACCAATTCTTTTTAGATTACATCACATATCCCATTGAAGAATAATAAAATACTTATACAGCCTAAAACAGGCAAGAAGACTGTCAGCTGCACACACACACACACACACACACACACACACACACACACACACACACACACACACACACAGTGACACCTGCACCATCACACATACCATGTTCTTTCCTTCAGAAGGTTAATGCTCATAAATCGGCCACAGACAGCTGGCTGTATGTTTGGAATGTCAACCAGATGTGTGTCTGCTCGTGTGTGTTTGTGTAAAACAGCCTTGTTACCTGACAGTTCAGGGGTCATGGAAAAAAAGCTAAAGAGAGAGTGTGTGCCCATATGTTTGCTGCAGCACAATTTATGAGTTGTGTCTGGTCACTGGTGCTTTGAAAGACAGACTGCACTATGGCCGCTAACCTGTCACTCATACATCACCTCACAAAAACACACATTGCATTATTTTCAGATTTTAAAAGCACACACAAGCACTTAATAAGCTAATGAACACAAAATCAGAGAAGATGTGATGGAGAAGAGAAGCGTGAAAGCGAGGAGGAGCAGCATCGGTATCATTTCAGAAGTGATTTAAAACAGCTCATTAAACTAAGCGTGTCAGCAATACTTCACACACTGTGACGCACTCATCGCCTTGTGTTACTCATGAATAATTTACTCATTCATTTTCAGGCTGCCATGTTTATTCATCAATAATTTACCCATATACCCGTGTCTTATTTACGTTGCAGCATTCTGCATTTGTCTGGATTTGATTACACAGCTCATCGATGGGTAGTGACTGGACAGTTCATTTATAAAAGAAAAATATGCATAATAAGATAAAGGCTTATTCACAAATTCAATATTATTTACATAGTCATTCTTCTTGTTTAAACAAGAGACAATTGTCTTTTTTTAGATTAGAGACATGTGCAAAATTCTGAAACTGGTGATAATTAGACGGATTCATCTTGAATAAAAGAGGTAAGATGATCCTTACTTTTACTGATATCCCAGTGTTCAAATTCTCTGTGATCATCACTGGTACCTATGTAGCTGAATCCTAAAAATGCAAACTTTGTGGGATTATACATTTTCTCCTATTAGTAGCTGATCCGTATAATGACCCTCATTATGTTTACTTAACACTTTGATTACTTACCTTAAACACAAATACAAATTCATTCAGCTTAGCAAATACAAATAAAGGCATTTTACTGTCATTAAAATACTCTCATGATAATTGTTGTTGTACATTGAATATGTAATATGTATATTTTCCTACCTAACATTTTCAATATACTTGGGCTAATTAACAAATGTACCTTAGATTAATAAAATAATGCTACATAACTTTAAAAAAGGTATTGTGCCAAATAAAGCAACATTGACATTGGTTGATAGTCCTGTAGACTCAGATCTCTGATTTCAACAGCATGTCAGTATCATATCATTCAGCAGGTTCATTGAGACCTTCAATAGTTTGATAAAAAACGTCTTAGTCTTGTTTTTGTCATCATTCAGGCACACTGTCTTTGGTGATCTGATTTGAGTAAGTCTTACCTGGCAAAAAAGGAGGCAGCAGCAGAGGTGGTGGTTGGTGCCGCCGTGGTTACAGCCGGAGTGTGTGAGGGAGAGTTGGTGTGCGATGATGAGTTTGTGTGTGAGGGAGAGTTGGTATGCGATGATGAGTTTGTGTGTGAGGGAGAGTTGGTGTGCGATGATGAGTTTGTGTGTGAGGGGGAGTGTGTGTTGTAGCGGTTCAGGGCAGCTTCGGTCTGACCCTCTCTGGAGGCCTCGGAGACCATCTGGGAGATCTGAGGAGAGACAGAGAGAATGGGAGTGTTAAGGCAACTTTTACAATGAGTGACAAGAAGAAGAAGAAAGAGAGGAGAAAGAGAAAGAAAGAAGTAGTCGATCTCTACCATTCTCATCCCCCCTCCTTTTCTTCTCCCCCCCACTCAGACAACTGTGATTAGAGTTTACTCCCTGATGACTTTGATGTCTGTCATTACACAATGATTTTTTAAAGGCCCATATAGAGAGCGGCATTGTAAATGACCTAAGGCTATAAATGTTGTAGTGTGTGGCATCAGTTTACTTGCTCCATACTTGTCCCTAAAGAAATAAACATGAAATAAATAAACAAATACATATGCGTAGAGTGTAGAGCAACAGTAAATCTCGGCCCTTTGTTGTTCCAGATGGTCAGATGAGAGATCAGAGTCTGAGGTCCAACAATGTCCTGCTTTTGTTTTTCTCTTCACTTTCTATACAGTTGGATATTTCTTTGCTTCATTTTCCAAAATATCTGTCCAAAATAAATATAGAACCTAAAATAGCCAAATTAACTTCAAGATTCTGTTTATTTGTCATTATTCTCATGTATCTGCATACATAATACTCTCTTAAACCTTTTAATTGATAATACTTTTTCTTTACAACCACAAGATAATGAGAGGACACATTTATCGAAGCAACATGTAAACTAATTAATCTGATGTTCAATCTACTTAATGTGTTTTCCTTGAGGGTAACCTTGATATATTTACAAAACATGATGTCAATAATTAGGACCAACCTCAGGTGGTGAAAATTCAGCAAATGCTAAATAAAAGAAATAAAAAAGTGCAGTTCCTTGAGTGTCCACTTGAGGCAGAGTGCAAAAGCCAAGCCTGTACGGAGGGGGACTTTTTAGATATTCATCTGTTCTGATTTTATTAGGCCTAAGAGTAATACTTAAATGTGCATCATTAAAGGCTGTGGGTGCATTGTAGCTGTTTGTCAGGAGGCTTAAGGCCTTCATCAGCTCCATGTCTTTGCCTGTTACTAGGTTTATTGAAAGTTCGGTGGAGGTAGCATTTCTAGTGTGGTGACCACCATCATAAGGCTTCATAACGACTCTTCAGACACCAATGGGTGACATCACTAAGACTTCTGCATGTTTTATACAGTCTATGGTCAATAATAACTGTGAAGTTATATTTGGTCAATAAATAAAGATAAAAAACTGGAGCAGCATGATGATCACTAATTTACTACTTAAGACTCTAATTATAAACACTACAAATGTCAAAACAACAAAGGTGTATGACAGTACGTGTGTGTGTGTGTGTGTGTGTGTGTGTGTGTGTGTGTGTGTGTGTGTGTGTGTGTGTGTGTGTGTGTGTGTGTGTGTGTGTTTTCCTTGGCAGATAGTAGATAAACTCTCCAGAGATCACACTGAACCATGGCAGCGGAAAATGTCTGGGTCGCTGATAGACAGAAATAAATAAACAAACAACAAACACACCATGCAGCCTCGGGTTCTCTTCTTACATCTTTATTTTACCTTTTTTCATTTGTTCATCCAATGTTTTTATTATTGCTTATTGTCTATTGAATTTCATTCTCTCTGTCCCTTTCCTCTACCATCTTACACTTTTCACATCTGTGCCGTTTTATTGGATCATCCTTCATGACATTTGTCCTTTATTAGATAGTATGGAGGGAAGAAGGACGCCGAGGACAAGAAGAGAAACCTCTGAACTTAAAGCACTGTAAGGAAATGAAATTTGCTGGCATGAACGGGGTTACACTTTCATCATATTTATAGTGTATATGACACATTTCTTACTTTGTGTGCTGATAGGATGTTTTGCACACAAAAACACACAAAGTAGAATTTCATGTCACATTAAACTTCTTTTTGTGAATGTCTGTGCTGCAACATTGTCTCTCCGAGAGTGCACAGCTGCGTGTGTGTGTATATGTGGTCGTGTATGTTTGTGAGTGGGTGTGCAGGCGATCTATCCGTGAAATAGATATGGATTATTGATTATAGTTCTTTATGTTCTGCCAGCAGACAGTCAGCAGAGCAGCTAAATCACTATCCCACGCTCCAATAAAGGAAAGAGAGCTTGTGTGAGAGTAAATCTAAACGCATGTATGTCTATTGTGAGAATGTCTGTGTGTCCTTGTGTCTGCGTGTTTATGTGTCTGCACTCCTCTGCACCTGTGTCTATGTGTGTGTAAATCAGCTCCACTGTGTGTGTATATTTACTGCTGAGGGCTCCCGGGGTCCAAGCATGCAGCCTGCTGCCTTGATAAATTACCTATTGTAAATGAGATGCCTCTATAGTTTATATATCCTTCTCCCTGTGCGTTTACATGCATTTCAAATGTGCACACCTAACCTGCAACCCCTGCATTATTAAAGGGGTTGTGAACATACAGAACAAAAAGGTACATTGAGTATCTGGATATTTTGCAGCTTTCTCATTTATCCTGATAAATGTGAAGAGGAAAATCCAGCCTAGTTTAGGAGAAATATGCCCACAGAGGGTTATTTCATGAGTAGAAGATGGTGGAATAATATGAGGTGGTCAGCCGCTCAATCTGCAGGGGCTGCTGCTGGCCAGACTACGTTTTACTCTTTTGCCCCTCTGAATGTCCCCCTTAAAATTACTCTATAAATATCCTAGATCATGTTATACAATTATGAGATTCAACAGGTTTTACAGACCTTTTAATCTGAAAAGCTGTGAGTTGATAGGTAACTAATGATACGTGATGCATCTTTTTAAAGTAGCTTTGTCAGAGAGCAGTGGCCTGTTGCACCAGCTCTGTATAAGTTCTGCCTTAAGTTATCGCGTAAAGTCCACACTCTACCCTACGTTGAAACATTACGTTGTAACTTAAGTTATGTCCACCACAGAGACCTAAGTTAGAGCAAGTAGAGCATTTCGTCCAAACTAACCCTAATACTGTTGAAGATATGACGTTTTCATACTGCGATGTACATCTTAGTTCATCATCTTGATTCTAACATATGATTTAAAGGTCGCATATTGTTCTCCTTTTCAACAAGTTTAAATGTAGCTCTAGCAAAAGTTCAGACAGGAACACTATATTTTGCACACTCGTTTTATTGTTTATTCTCATACCATGTCAAATCACTCCTCCACACATGCTCACTCATAACTTCTCGTAATCATCACCTGGTCACATCTATCCAATAGCACTGCTCCACTCCCTCATTGTTAGCCTATCACATTGCTGCTGTCTCTTTTTAAAATGGCTTTCTCTTCCACTAGTTCATTCATGCCATCGTTACGAGCGACCCTCCACCTCCCCATCGCCACCAAGCCTTCGCAGTTTCATCACCTCCTTCATCCCATCAGCCTCAGATGACATCAACGGCCATCGTCCAGTCAACCCCAGCCTTTGCAGTTTGTCTCAGATGACATCATTAACCATCTCCTCATCAACTCTAGTCTTCACAGTTCAATCAACTTCTTCATCGCATCAACCCAGACGACATCATCCGCTAACACCTCCACCACCAGTGTCTGGACTCTAGGGGGGGATAGATCTTGCTGCTGCTCAGGGCAGACATCTTCAATCACCCTGTCTCCTTGTAGAGTTCAAGCGCCAAAGATTCTCTTACAATCATTCTATGTCATATATGTAAAATAAACCTTTCATCTTTCAACCATTTACTTGTCTCTCCTGATTGAAATAAGCCTCTAAGGTCCCAAAAACATGTTTGGGAAGTTTGTTTCCAAAAATCCCCTCAGATCCTGTATTTTAGCTACGTCAGTAAGCTGTGTCTGACCACACCCCTCTCTAAAAGGGCTTGGGTGGCTCGTCTTTTTTGGACCATGCTCGACTTGTTTGCAGTGAGAAGGCAGACTCAAAGCCCTCCCATTGATCATTATTATACAGATAATATTCATAATAACAAGATACATGGACACCTAGCTAATCTATTTACATAAATGGTATCCATAATGATGTGATTAAAGATAATTATGTTATTGTTATAACAGTTTCTAACACATCACAATTTATCTCAAAATCTTTCTGTAAATTATCCTTAAGTTATATAAAATTACAAACTGGAAATTCTATGATCCCATTTGGATATTAGGTCATTGCAGCAGGAGAGAAAACTATCTAGTTATAATCAAGACCAACAGATCACTGACATAAAACAGCCAAATGTAGAAGTTAAGGCAGCAAATCATCAAAATAAAATCCATAGAACATCTTTTTTACAACAGATTCCCTCAGAGATACAGACACCCTGCACACAAACATTATGTCACTCTCACCCTCCTCTTCCTAAGCACTAAAGCACTTATACACACTTGTCTGTCTGTGCTCTTAGAAACTGGTAAAAACGGGACCATTCATCTTCATTACAGCACAAACACCATTTCCCCAGCACTCACCTGCCTCATCTGTCTCTCTTACATTTATTCTATTTTTATATTCATTTCAGACAACAAGCTGCAGCCCACAGACATAGGATTGGTGTCTAAAATTTCAGGTTCATGTGAAGAGGATGGTAGAATAAATGGTGTGATTGTGTGTCCATGCATGTGTGTGGTCTTGTCTGGTTTCATCAGGGGGATAGACACAATCTGTATCACAATCTAAATGCTTACTGCAGCAGAGTGGATGAAGGGAGAGAGTAAATGGGGAGTGGGGGTGGGGAAGGGGGCAGCCCTCTCACTATGAGAATGGGGGAGAACGTTTGATGGAGAGAAGAACTACAAAAAAAGGATAAAGTAAATAAATGGAACAAGTTGTACACTTATTTTATAGAAGAGATGGCATTACAGAAAACACAAGTGTATGTGTGTCAGACATGGAAGAAGAAGAGAGCGACTGAGAGGATCCAGAAAAATGTACTAAAAAGTCGGCAACACAACAAGGAAATCAAGAAAAAAAAAAAAAAAAAAATCCTTTTATGTATTTTTCATTGCGATATAGATGGCTTTATGGGAAAACAGACATAACCAAACAAACTCTCATGAAAGCTGGGCATTCTCTTATTTTTAAATATTTTTAAGGCACTACTCTACATTTTAGATCAATATGTTGTATGCTTAATATAAGTTACTCGAGTTTGGCAGGCTTGTCCTCTTTGAGATAAGACACTAAACTTTGGGAAGTATAAATAGCATTGTTATGTCTGCATGTAAACTTCCACTGCAGGCCATGTAACACCTACTGTACACCTGAGCAGTACCTTAGTCAGACTTTAATGCGTCAAATCAGTGAGATTTACTTTTAACAGTGCTGATCAGGGGGAACCACAGTTTTTGTAAAATTGTAATCCTTAGTCTGTTTCTGTGTGTGTTTCTTTGGAAGAAAAACAGAAACACTGTAAATAAAGCTAATCCATCTGTTTTTGAAATCAATACAGGCGCACACGCACACACACACACACACACACACACACACCACTGTATAAACCTGTTTTAGATTAGCTGCTTGAAGGACGGAGAAAGGGCAAAGAGACAATGTTATATTTGTCTCAAGCACACGAGAGAAAGCTTAAGAGAGAGAGACCTTGTGAGGGCAAATGTGACAGAGCTCAGTCTGTTGAAAAAAATGACAAATGTGTTCTGTGTTTTTGAATGAGGCAAATTATATATACTTGGCTTGTATTTTGTAGTGTGTTTTTCATTAAATATATCTAATTATTGTCTGCTTTTTTGGACTAAAAGACATTTTCCCCCCTTTTATATTTAGTATCCTAAACAGAGAGGACGACAATAAGTCCAACCACAGACTCTCAGTGTTTGACATGTTTAACAGCCTGCCTACAAGGTGCCAAATGAAGAAGCTTAGGGTTTGATTAAACTGGGTTGAGTTATGTTTGGTTTTCATAATAAAAAAAAGTCAGAGTACAGGAAGAATTTAAAATCTAATTATTAATAAACATTGAAAAATGTTTGTGAGCTTGTCCTGTCATTAATCCAAATCTGCTTCGTGGGGGTCTTATTTTCAGTCTCCATTGTTCAGTCAGAATCTGTTTTCTATTTCTGCAAGACTACTAGAGGGACCTGGAAGAGAAATGGCCATAAATATAAAATACAGAGGTTGTCACCTCTTAGTCTGCTGAACCAGCAGGATTTTAATACCCTCTGTAGCAGACAGGTTGCTCTTTCTCTCTGTCTACCTCTGTATCCATACTTCTTTTAATCTCTGTTTTACAGAGCTCTATTTAAGTGGCCTCTCAAGGTGACTTGAAAGGTGATTATCATCACTGTTCAAAACATTATTAAATAAGACCGAGTGTTGCTGTTGGAAGTGTTTCTGAAATGTAGAACAAAATTACTCATAAAGTCCACTGATTCTTGGTATTTTCAGCTCAAACCTCATTCAGTTTCCTTGCAGCTGCTGCACATGTGTTTGTTTTCTCTCTCACTTTTACATGATTGGAGAGGATTATTTTCTGGGCTGTGTTAGATCTTTAAGCCCTGTAAGGACTTCTGAAAGCTCCACTTATGCTAGGGCAGAAATCTTTTATGTTTCGTGCAGTAAAGCAGTTCAGTAGATTTCCTAAATCAATTCTAAAATCAATGTAGCGTAGAGTTGATAATCGTCTCTGTATTGATAATGTCTTAGAATTAATAAAATTCCCATGAATTATGACTATATCACTCTCTGTACATCTCTCATTTCTTGTTACATTACCTGCCCCTTCTCCTCCTCCCTCAGGGGTGAGTCTAAACAAGAGTGATTTATTATCCTGCTCTGTTTCTCCTTTCCTGCTGAAACACCATTACTGTCAGAGTCAAAAGAGCCCAAACACACAGGCTGACTCTCATTTTATACCTACCAACGAAGACATAAACTAAACTGAATATATAGAAGAATATGCCCTTGCATTTACTACCGGCTCTCTTCTTCACACATTGGCTCAGACACAGACACTTTACTAGGGCGCTGGTAGGAAACGGTCTGGATAAAGTCAGGGTAACGACATCTAATTGTTTGTGTTCACAATGTCATTGTTCTCCTCTCCTCTCCTCTTCCTCTTCCTCTTCCTCTTCCTCTTCCTCTTCCTCTTCCTCTTCCTATCCTCTCCTCTCCTCCTCTCCTCTCCTCTCCTCTCCTCTCCTCTCCTCTCCTCTTCTTCCTCTTCCTCTCCTCTTCCTCTCCTCTCCTCTCCTCTCCTCTCCTCTCCTCTTCCTCTTCCTCTTCCTCTTCCTCTTCTCTCCTCTCCTCTCCTCTCCTCTCCTGTTAAGATTATTATCATCCATTTTTTTCTTTTGATATTATTATTAAGTCATTGTGATTAGTATTATCTCTACAATTGTCATACTTCTTGTTGTTTTAAGTCTTACATCTGTCTGTATGTCTTCCTGTCTCTGTCTCTCTTTCTCTCAAACTGACCTGTTGAGGACCATGGTAGTCTATGAATCAGGTATGGCTGAATGTTTCACCTCTTGGAAAGATCCTTTTCTACACTGTTAATGAGAAGCGCTAAGAAGTGGTGCACTTAGTTGGGATTAGGGAAAACAGGGATACAGCAGTGTCATACACCTGTTAGGATGCACTGAGCACTATAAAACTGAACAACATGCATACACAAATTAAAAGAGATATGTAGGACATTCATGCACACAAGCTAACAACATACACACACAATATCTAGACAACAAAACACAATAAAATACAATCACTAGAATAGAATAACTATGAATGAATAAAATTTAAAATTAAATACGCTGTTTCTAATTTATTTCTGACCATCATAATATGATAGACAAACAATTCTAGGGATTGTACAAAATGATTTACACCTGCAATTAAATGTATTTGTATCTGATTCAAGTCAAGAGCTGAATAACATAAATAGGGATTTAAAAACAACTAGAAGAGGAGGTTGTTGAATCTCAAGCTGACGCAGTGTGAGGAGGGCAGGAGAAATAATAGGCAAGAAGGAAAGAAAGAGCCACAATAGGTAGATAAAAAGAGAAAGAGGGGGAGGGAGAGAGGAAGGGTGAACAAGAGTGTAAGAGTGAAGGGGTACTAGGGGGGTGTGTGACATTAGAGTCCCCAGAGTCCTAATTATCAGTGTATGAATTATTACATCTGTAGAACACCCTCATACACACATGTGAACATACATGCACGCACATACACACACATGCACAATCACACCTCTGGATCTCCCCTGCAGGCTCAGCTCTCCCGCCTCCCTGCATACACCTCTAGTCCATACGTAACCTCAGGCGTTTTCTCCCTCCTGCAATCTTCCTCTCTTGTCTGCTCTCACTCCCTCTCTTCCTGTCTTCTACTTAAACCCATTCAATTATGTATTTTTTTGTTTTATTTGAGTCACTATGGTAACTACCTTTCACCCAAAGCAGTAGCTTTGTCTCCTATCTCCTTGTGTTGAATAATCCGGGGGTTCATAAACTTTTCTCTGCCAAGGACCCCTACATAGTATGAAAATGTGCACTTCTTTGTCATATTCATACTAAGAAAAGTAATCATCTGCTAGCTGGTGGCCTTTCTTCCATCTGGTCTAATCATTTAAGAACACACATAGCTCTACAGGTATATCCTACCTGGTATGGATAGAGTGTAACTCCTCCATTAGTTCGGTTGAGGTGCTGATGGGCCTGAAGAGCTGCTGCGCTCAGTACAGCTCCACTCCCGTTATTACTGCCTGGGCTGTTAACTCCACTCAGTGCCTGCTGTTGAGCACCAGCTTTTCCTGAACTGGGAGATCCATTCCTCCTGTCCACTGCACCTCCGAGCCCCAGGGAGCTGGGCTTGGATCCCAGTCTGTGTCCTGCTCCTTGAGGCTGTGGGTTTGTGGATGCACAGCTGGATGTCTGACCCGCAGAGGGACTCCCATGGCTCGAGTTGGATGGTCCATGACTGGGACTGGGAGTCGGGGTCTGGCTGGGACTCGGTGATGGAGACTGGGGGGATGGATGAGAAGGGAGTGAAACAGCAGCACAAGCTGAGGAAGAAGATGAGGGAAGACAAGGAGGAGGCCAGTCCCGTGATCCAGGTGCTCCAGGAGCTCCAACTGCACCCAAAGCTCCTTGAGATCCATAACGTCCAATGAGGGATGTAGGGGAGGAGGTGGGAGACAAATCCCACTGGTCCAGAGTGAGGACCATGCGAACAGCTTCCTGTTTAAGCTCATTCAGGTGAGTGGCACAGACATCACACCGACTGTCATGCTCGTTCCACGCCCGCCGGGAACTGTTGGGCACCTGAAGCTTATCATGAAGAAGGAGAGAGAAGGAGGGATCCTGGAAGAGGAGAGAGAAACAGAATTGTGAGATTTGGACTGGGATCTATGGGTGAAAGAGAGCAATATAAAGGAAAACATATTTATTTAAGGATTCAGCTAAAGGAAAGAGAAGAAATTACAAGTGTGTTGAACAAATCATGAAAACTTATGTTAATAGAGTGGGATTTTCTCACACAACTTTACCAAATACCAAGGTGCATGAAGAGTGAAAGGCTAGAAGAGGTCAACAAGCTCCAGCAACACTTGTAGTATGAAGATGAACTTTATTAACAAATCAGACCGACTCGTTTCGGCTTGTGGCCTTCATCAGGGTCAATGACGTGTCAATTAATGTTAATAGTATCTGAGAAACATTGCCTTGTAGTCTGGGGGAGGATATGGAGAAACACACACACACACACACACACACACACACACACACACACACACACACACACACACACACACACACACACACACTATAGCTTTAGGGTCTAAAGGGTAAGAGTGACACAGAAGCTTGCAGCACAGAAGGTCCCCTGCAACATAAATGAAAAAATGTCCTTCTACTCTCCCTCTCTCCCTCTTTATTCTCTCTCTCGCTCGCTCTCTGTCTCTCTCTCTGTCTCTCTCTGTCTCTCTCGCTCTCTCTCTCTCTCTCTCTCGCTCTCTTTAGCTACGATGCAGGCTGACATTGTGTGTGATGAGTGCATGATGTGACTTTACACCTTTGAACCATCTTCAAACGCCCCTCATTGCTATAATTAAAATATACAATAAATGACAGAGAAGCCATTTTTTGTGACATACAAGAGGTTAATTGCAAGGATATCAATTTATTACACTGAGTGAACACCTAATTAATTTCCCATTAAAACAAAATTAAAAAGTATTTGATGAAAAGGAAATAGCTCAGTAAAGGTGTCATGAACTATTTCTCTGTTCATTCATAACTAAAAATAGAGCTAAAAATATGAAAGTAAAGCTGAGAACATGTCATTCTGTTAGAAATCCCTCCATGTGACAATGACTAAGCTTATGGCAGCTGAAACAGCACTGAACACGTCAACATGTTCTGACTTTTTTTTTAAATTTTCACAACAATAACAGTGCTAAAACAATCCTGTTTATTCTGTTTCTGTTGCCAGGTTCTTTGACTAGTCTCAGGTTAGATTTTGCTCATCCATGGGGCTTCTTCCTAGAGCAACTGTGTGCTCTTATCCTGGAATAAAAGCAAAGCCAGTAGAGAGATGATCGCCATTCAGAGTGTGTGGTCATCACTTTATGATCATGTGATTTAAGTGAAATAAAATGTTTGTGTTAGGGAAGCCTCCTCAACATGTTTTGGCACTGATGTTATTTCGTTCACTTTGCGCTGCACAATGTTTTCACTTTTTTCAGACTTTCCTTACTGATACACTTCAGATAATTCTAGCCAGAACTGGTAGTTAAAGTCAAGAGATGTCCCATTCTAAGTAATGTGTTGCTGTGACAGGTTTCCAGATCATCAACATTTTAAAATTGTGTTTATAATCACAATAATAATATGAAGCTGCAGAGCTTTTTACATTTTTGGATGTAGCAGAACATTCTTTAACTCTGGCAAATTCATCCTCTCAAGCAGCCCCCCCCCCCCCGCCCCCCATCCCTCAATAAAATGCTGTGAAAGTATTTGTAAAGAAAAATCTGAAATTGGTCTCCAAACACTTTACATGTTGGAAAAACAGTAGTTGTAAACATAAGAAAGACTGACAACAATTTTTGACTGATTAATGGATTTAGACCATTAGAAGGTTTTTTTTTGTATTTTTGATCCCTTTTAGGTTCTTTTAGGTTTTTTGAGGGCGGATTTTTGTGGGCAAGTCAACTCATGTTGCATGGCCCACCGTGTGTTTTATTTTTCCTGTTCTTCTATCATTAGTCTCTCAGTTATTGTTTGTCTGTCGAATATGTGTATGTGCTTGTGTGTTGGCAATGATAATGTGCATTCATGCAGAAATTAGAATATTTGTAGAAACTTCTTTCCATATTTATTCCTTCCTGTGTGAGGTCTGAGGTAATTTAATGGAATTGTTTTTAGTCCAGCTTTGCTCAAGACCTTTTGAGACTGATGATAGGACTAATATGACTGAGTGGAGTTGTGTGGGTGTAGTGTGAGCGTAATATCATCGAGGATATGTCCGCTTTCGTGGCCTGTACTCCAACCAAACATCTGTGGTAGGTGCTGCCCACTCACTTGATAACTATAATTACCTTCCTGCTTTCAGCCAACACCACCTCTCCTGTAACACTAAAGCCTGCTATCTTTCCTGCACAAGTGATGGTTCCAACAAACACTGTCTGCTAGGTATGGGTATGTGTAAAACTCTATATATGATTGTGTTAGATGGTAAAGACCTTGCCTGCACATGCACACTCTCTACAAGAATGAAATATGCTTCTTTTTGTGTATTTCTGTGCACATTCATCCATTAGTGCTTCTGCACTTTAAAGAGAGCCATTAAAGTCACTTTCTCACTGGTAATGTTCCACATCTGCAGCTTTGTTTTCATATGGTCGATTAAACAGCAAGAACAAAATAGTGCCCAGTTTAACTACAATTTTATTATGGTTTCATAATGGTTGGTGCATAAAAACAATCAGATTTCAAAGGTGTTGATCCATTCTATTAGAAACAGGAGACACATCTCTTCAAACTGTTGTTCAGCATGTCGCAAATTTTATTTGACTATCTCACATCGTACTGCATGTACATTATTAATTAAAGTGATGGGAGAGCACGCCTTGTCTGGTGAAGCTTAATCAATACATGAGTTATGAAGATGAACAAATTGTGTGTGTGTGTGTGTGTGTGTGTGTGTGTGTGTGTGTGTGTGTGTGTGTGTGTGTGTGTGTGTGTGTGTGTGTGTGTGTGTGTCTAATCAATAGGCAAGCGATTGACACAGGTTATCTCTCAGTGGATTTAGAAAATCAGATATTTATATTGACAGACAGGTGATGGATGGATAAAACAGAAAAACAGAGGGGAACAAGGGTCAAAGTAAATGACTGACATGTAGAAATGAGTACATCCCATACATAAATTATTAGCTTTTTAGCTAAATTACTTTTTTAAATCTTAATATGTTTAACTGGATGTATGTTGTGAAAAACAAACAAACATGCATTTCAGTTTAGGCCAAAAAGTTTATTGTAATCACAGCTGAGTGTGTATATGTGTGTATTTGTCTGTGTGTTAGTGTGTGGTCCGCCTCTTCGGTGGCCAATATGCTCCAATTGGAATAAGATCCTGTTTGCAAGAAAAATAGAGTGAATGAAAGTGACTGTCTGCCACACACAACTAAGCCTCTATCAATAACAAGACTGTTACCTTTCCCCAATCAATACACTGCCTGTGTGTGTGCCTCTGTGTGTGTGTGTGTGTGTGTGTGTGTGTGTGTGTGTGTGTGCAAATGTGTCCACACAAAGCAACACTTCATCTAATAGGAAAATGTAAACCTCTCAGAGTGAGAACTGCCTGCTAGGCTGTGTCAACAAACCACAAGATACACATACACACACACACACACAAGGCAGGAGCGCAAATGTTGGAGTTCAACCGGGCAGTGTGTGTGAGTGTGTTTTTATGGATAAAGGCTACCTTGTTACTTAGGTAAACTAAGCAGCATAACTAATGGAACAAGTTTTTTTTTAACATACAGTATACATACTGTACACACGTGTAACACAAACACTTCAAGCTGGCATAGACCCCACTAACACACACATACTCTGTGCCTTGTGTCTCTCTTTCTAGCCCTCTCTCTACAGTCTATGTCACACACCCACACACACACACACACACACACGCTCTTCCATGCAGATTGACACACTCAAGGAGAAAGCTGAGGTAGGGCAAATTTAAAAAGAAGTTGACAAGTTGTGCATTTACTCAAATAAATAATCCTCCTAAGCTGTGAGGTCATGGCACTTTTCCCTCCCAAAATGTGTTGACTCCAGAAAAAAATATAATATCATGTCAGTTTTATTTGGTTGCTTAACCAAGGGAGAGGGAGAGGTAATGTAGCATCAAAATGACAGAGTAGGAGATGCGCACTGCCTAATTTGAAAACAGATGTACAGAGTCACATACCCCATGGGTGGGTGTTTCAAGTTTTAAGGGGCAGCAGTGTGCTGAGACATATTTATGGTGAAAATATAAAACACAGTTAAAACCCTCAAAGGAAAAATGGATGGATAGAGTATTCCTGCAGGAGATAATTTCCTTCTAATCCAAGTTCAGAATGGTTTGAAAAGCAATGTAGTTGTTGTATATCCTTGTTTGTCCTGCATTCTTTTAGTCATAAAAAGCATCTCTAGCTATGAGCTAGATAGCTGTTTGAGAACAATGCAAGTCATTGAAGTCTCATTTTTTCTCTGCAAGTTATTGTAAAGCCTGTTTGAGGTTGATAAAAAGCAAACCACAGAGAGGAAATAGTGAAGAAATCCTTTAATCAATACCAAATAGAGGCTCTAGATGTTTTGTTTGGAAAGAATTGTAAAAGTCAGAAAAAATAGTTGAAAAGTAACATTAAATGTCTTTTGGCTTTCCTCAACTCAAGTCAACACACACACAAACACAGCGCATGGGTGATCAAAGGAGCTTTAAAGTGGACACAGGGTTGGGTCCTTGAGATGAGGGTCTTGTTCTGAGATTTGGGGAGCAGCCAAACTGGCTGATAGGCAAAAAGAAAAGAAAAGAAAAGGAGAGCTGTAAATAACAGAGACGCGAGGAGGTCTAAGAAACAGAGACAAAGTTACTTGTCACACAAACACTCCATGAAGTCTCTACAAACCTGAAAACCACTAGAATCTGCCTGTGCCCTCTCTATGACCCTCTCTCTCTCTCTCTCTGTGTGTTCATGTTCTTACTTCCTTTTTGTATTTTCAGCTCGACTTTTTGTGGAACAGCATAAATACTTGAGTTTGTTTACATTCCCCACTAACACTCTAAGACTGTCTCATTAGCGTTGCATAATG